GTGTTATAACATATTTTTTAGCTATTTGAAAAGGTATTCTGCTTTCTTTTAGATAGAATAAGAGAGAAGGATTAAAATGATTGCAACAGGGATATTGTTTACAACTTCCTGGCCATAAAACTTAAGAAATTAGTTACTCATCACGTTAAGGAGTTTCCTTTGGAGAAAGTATTATTAATGTGGGGGTCTAAAAAACTTTTTAGTATTTTGATAACTATAATTCAGTTTAATCAGTTTCCTTTGTAATTATATGTATTTTATTTTATGCATATAAAAACATTATTCGTTAAAAGGGTCCACAGGTTTCACCAGACTGTCAAAGGGGTCTATGACACACAAAAAAGGTTAAGCATTCCCATCTTAGAGAATTAAGAGATCAGTCTAACTTTCTGGTATGGTTTAAGGATCTAGTCCTATCCAATAGCAGGAGATGCTCTAAGTGACTTGCTAAATTCCCTTACAGCCTTAGGAATACACGATTTGAACCTGCAACCTGAGTGATTCAGAGTGCACTACCAGATGCCTAATAGCCTTTCAAGAAGTATATTCTACTTAAACTTTCTCTACATTTTTGAAAATAGAGTCAAGCTATTCCCAAAAAGGAGGAAAGTGGTTTCTTTGAGTAGGAAGTAGGTGCTTTGAGGAAGAAGGAGCTGGACTCTTAAGAAATACTAATGTCATTCTATAGCTGAGAGATCATCCAGGAAGGACCAAAAGAAAAAGTAAGGAGTGGTGGTGAGTACTTCCTTTGCCGGGGAGTATTCAAACAGCTACTTGTTGACTCAAAAATCAACAACAGAGAGATCTCCTGTGTTCCTATGGTGCACATAGTATAAATCAGAGGCAGAAACAAGTGATATTGTCGTTGGATGATACTGTATGCCACCTGGGCAGGGAAAAAAAAGTAAATGAGGACTAGGAGAAACTGGTTCAGAACTTAGCATGGTGATAGGATATTTTAGTGATGGGGAACTTTAATTCTGTAGACTTCTTCCAGAGCTCTCTCACTTTAACATAAGCAAAGCAGCTAATATTTTCTTCCAGAGGACAGAAAATGATGCATCCTACCCACATCTTGTCAAAGATGCACAGTGAGATGTACATTTTTGGACATGGACAAATTAGGAGTTTACCTTTACTTGACTGCATGTACAAACATATACACACATGTGCATATGTGTGTGTATACATATGTGTATATATATGTATATATATTCATATAAAGAGGGTTTTATTGTTCAATTGAGGGAGGGAACATTGAACAGAGAATTTGATACTTGGCAACTGAAAAAAATTAAACTAAAAAAATAATGTGGATGTACAGGCCAGCTTAGATTTTAGAAAGGTATGTTCAGAAGATGAAAATAGGGCTGGTTTTTGTCCACTCTCCAAGTGGATGATTACAATGATTATGTAAGAAAAGTATCCCCAGCACTAATGCTCAGAATGGGCCAGGGTTGGGAAGGAATGTCAAGGACAAAAGAAAAGAGTTTTTAAATTATGTTGGGGAAAAAGGAGGATCTTAAAAGGCTGTTGACCTCTTAAGAAGGAACAGATGATAACAGACAACAGAAGGTATAACCACTCAAACATTTTTTTTTTTTACTTCTATTTTCTCAGCTAAGGAAAAGTATCTTTGGTCTAGAAAGGCTAGAACAAAGTATGCCATGCTAATCAAATTTGCTGATCAACAAGGATGGGAGGTAGCATGGTGTGATGGAGGAAAGCAGTGGCTTTGGAGTCAGAGGACCAGAGTTCAAGCTTTCTGTTTGATGATGCTTACTAACTGTGTGATTTTGGGCAAATTGCTTAATTTTCCTGGACCTCAGTTGTCTTGTCTGTAAAATGTGAGCGTTGGATGAGATGACTTCTGAGGACTGTCTGTGATAACTGGCATGTTGAAAGATAGAGTCACAATCCAAGGAGATCTTGAAAGGCTAACAAAATGAAATATGAAGTCTTACACTTAAGTCAAAACAAAATAAAACAAAATATCCTCGAGAGATAGAGGAGGCATTGCTAGACAACAGGTTATCAGAGAACATTTGAGGGGCTTTAGTGATCTGCAAGTTCATTTTGTTGACCATGTGATATGATAGCCAAGAAAGCTAATGCAATCTTAGGCTTCATTAAAAGGAACTCGGCATCCAGTACTAGGGAGGTGATAGTTCCACTATACTTTGCTCTTGTTGGCCACACCTCAAGGCTTGGGTTCCATTCTAGGTGCCACACTTTAAAAAGAATATTACTAACTTGGTGAACATCCAGAAGAGGGTGTTCAGGAAGCTGAAGGCCTTGAGATCATGCATTCAAGGCTCAGGTGAAGGAAGGGAAACAAGAGAGTCACATTACATTTGTTTTTCTTGGCACCAGAAGAAAGAATGATAAGCACTAGGTGGGAATTGCCTTCATGTAAAAAAAAAAAATTCTTAACAGTGAGAGATAGAATGGGCTACTCCAGAAAATAGTCAGGGGTAGGGGGAGTTCTCCTCACTGGAGGTTTTCAAAAAGAGACTGGATGACCACTTGTCAGGTATGTTTGTAGAGATGATTTTGGTTTAAGTATGGGTTGGACAGGATGATATCTGAGACCCCTTCCAACTCAGTCTCATCTAGCAATTTGTTTCTTTCCCACTAGAGGGCACCACCAGACCAGCAAAGATAAATCCAATATTCCTCAAACCAGGAAAAGAAAGCTTTCTCTTGTGGGGTTGTAGAGCTCTCTCCTTGGCATATGGGAACAAAAGAAAGGGTAAAAGGCAATTTACCACAGTGTGGAAGGCAGGGTAGTTGAGCTGTAAGAGCCCCAGGGAGGTAGGTAGCTAGCTGCTGCTGCTGCTGCTGCTAATAGCCTTAACCAGGGCATTAGCTCCTCTCCTAATTTGAGGCTGCCTATAAACACTTTAAAATAGCTAAAATAGCAGAGTCCTCTGGTTATTACTTAAATTACTCTGATAATGTGATTGTAGAGTTGAGTGTAATGACAGAAGGGAAAGCAAGGTGGCCAAACTATAGTTCCTTATGGTAGACTGGTGTAGCCCTTGGGAATGTGGTTAACTGGGTGACTTCCCTGTGTTGTATGTGTCCCTGGGCAAAGTCTCATGTATTTGTCTGTACTTTATACAACTTGGAGTCTTAGGTAAAATTGCTACAAGGTCACCAGTGGCTTCATACTTTACAAAACCGTCTGACCATTTCCTATTTTCTTGGGGTGCTGCATAGGATCCCAGAAGTTAGTGGTCAAAGGGCCTTATTAAGAGGCAGGAATTTGAATATGAAGAATTCTGATAAGAATTAGCAGAGTATAAGTAGAATGGAAGAAAGTGAAAAGTGATGGTGGTAGGTGTTCCCTATCACCCAGGGGAAAAAGTAAGGCACTTCTTCAACTTTGATGATGATGATAAAACAACAATAATTACCAAGTCCTCTTTTGAATGGGTTAAGTCTATTGATCATAATTCAAGTAAAACTCGTTTAAGCCAATGATCTGCTGATAGCTACAAGAATTCTCAGGACTGAAAGAAATGGAAGCTTTGACTATTGATGAATTGGGAGAAGAAGGAGGGTACAACTTATGGCCCAGAACACTGGGGAGGGTAGCTCTGGGTAGAGGCTTGCAACAGGGAGCTTGAGCCTGCCAGAGAGTATCAGGAGGGGCTGGGTATCTGCAGGGCTGCCTCCTAAAGTAATTACTGCCTGTCGTGGAGACATTCAAGCTGAGATCAAGTGACCCTTTGTCCCAGGCTGGTGAAGCAGTGAAGAGTCTGACTCTGTTTTTCTATACGGAGGTAGTTGTTTGTTCTTCATTCTCAGAGACGAACATGACATCAGCTCCTAACGGATGTCAAACTGTCTAGCTAGGTGGCCCAGTAGATAGAGTCACAAGTCTGGAGTCAGGAAGACCTTAGTTCAAGTCTGGATCCAGACACTAGCTGCCATAATATATAATAGGATCTAATATAATACCACACAATATAATGTGTATTGTCTCATTTGATTCTCATAGTCACAACCTGAGATACAGGAGGGCCTGAGTTCAAATCTGGCCTCAGACACTTACTTGTGCTGTGATCCTGGGGAAGTCACTTAACCTGTTGGCCTCAGTTTCCTCATCTGTAAGATGAACTGGAAAAGGAATGACAAACCACTCCAGTGTCTTTCCCAAGAAAACCCCAAATAGGGTCACAGAGAGTCAGAAACTGAAAAACGATTCAACAACCACAACAAAAGAAGTAAAAGCGGCCCTCATAAATGCAAGCAAGTGGGGACACTGTGTACCATGCTACAGTTGGGTGGATTTTTTTTTGAGGGAATGAAAGAAGATGGGAGTGAGATCACTACTTACACTTTTGTGTAACAGAGGGCAGATATTAGTGTACTTCTGTATGAACAGAGGGGCAGCTAGCTGGCATAGTAGGTAGAGTGTTAGGCCTGGAATCAGGGAGACTCATCTTCATGAGTTCAGATCCAGCCTCAGACACTTACTAGCTGTCTCATGAACTGGATTTAAGTGAAGGAGAGCTGTGCAAAGTCTCTAGCCTCACTCTCTCCTTCACAGCCATCTGGCTCCAATGGCAAGATATAGACTGGAGATGGCCCTGGGTGCAGGGGGGAGACCTTGCAACTGTTTCTGTTTTGGCCAGAAACCCCGAGTCTTCCCTTCCCAGATTGATTTTTTTTAACTAGGTAAAAGAGGCCATTCTTTGCCTCATTTCTTACCTAGGCTTAATCACTGAATGGGTGTTGCCTCATTCAGACTGAGATCTGGGAAAGATCTATAGGGAGGACCAATACTAGGGAAGAGAAGGCTCAGAAGGGAAAGTGGAAGGTTGATGAAAAAAAACTTCTCTCACTTATGATCAGCAATCTTACTCTAAAGTCCTAGTTGCAACAACCGTCTCTATGCTGAAAGTCATTTTCCCTTCTAGGTTGCCAATACCTGCTTTGGGATCCTGGTGACAACTCTAGTTATTCACACAAAAAAAGTTTATCGTTCTTACTATTTTGCTGAGTCCGAGAGTTGGTATTCTCTTCTTCGATCATAACATTCCTGGATTCCAGGGTCCTCCCATAGTTTTTTGATTGCTTCCACTTGTTTCCTGGGCAACATGGACACTTTGTCTACTTCCACTTCTCTAATCATCTGAGCATTTTCCTAATCAAAAAGGGGAAAAAAATCATTAAAGGGGAGAAATCCAACTCGAAGATGCTCTGGTATGACCTATGGAACCAGAGCCATCTTTGTAGAGGAGTTATAGCACAATGTTGTGCAAGAGAAAGAGTGCTTGGTTTACGATCAATGGACCTGTGTCCAAATTCCATTCCCTACTCCCCTCATTCACCAACTGTGTGACCCTGATACAGGTGACATCACCATTCTGGACCTCAGTTTCCTTATCTGCAAAACGAAGAGGTAGACTAGGTGATCTCATAATAATAACTCATATTCATAAATTCCCTTCTAACTTCAAACTTTGAAGTCTGTGAGAGCTCAGTTAGGTGGTGGCGATCCTTGCGTGGGGGAAACATGCTCTTCCTTGAAATTGTTGATAATTAAGACACATGAGACAAGACAAGCTGGCTTAGTGTCAAACAGAGATAGGGGGGGCTACACTTAGCTATCCAGTGAGGCAGTCACACATTGGCCCTGCCAGTCATCCTCAGCTCCCGGGAGTGTGTTAATGCCAATAGAAACAATATCTTCTTTGAAAATATAACGTGCCCATACATCAAAGGGAGGAGGGAAGAACAAGAAAGAATGGCAACCCTCACACCACCACCCATTTCTCTTCTAGCAACTTGCCTCTCTACCCTTTAGAGTAGCAGGAGTCTAAATGTCATATCTTACTTATGATAAAGTTAGGCACATTATACTCAACTGGTGATTTCATCAGCTCCTATGAGTTTGATTACCATCTAGATCTATGCAGTTGGCTCCTGGATCTCCATGTCCAGTCTTAGTCCTTCATCTGAGCTCCAGCTGCCAAGTGGACATTACAAATTAGCTGTCTCATACACAGGACAGAAGTTCTCAAACTCAACATGTCCAAAACAGAATTTGTGTTTCTTCCAAAACCTATCCTCTCTGAAACTCCCTATTTATGTTATGGGTATCACCATCTTTCCAGGTTCACAGTCTTTATCATCATACTTGCCTTCTCACTCTGCCCTCTTTCCTTAAATACAGGTGTAACCATATCAGTCCCCTAGTCAATAAGCTTCTCTGTTGCTTTTTAGGTAATATGCAAACTCTTTTACTTTACTTTTGAATACCCTTCATAATCTGACCCCAACCTTTTTTTTCAACTTGATTATACATTACTCCCCTTTCTGTACCCTATGGTCCAACCAGACTGTCTAGCTGGGTGGCCCAGTAGATGCAGTCACAAGTCTGGAGTCAGGAAGACCTTAGTTCAAATCTGGATTCAGACACTAGCTGTCTATAATATATAATATGATCTAATATAATACTGTACAATGTAATGTATATTGTCTCATTTGATTCTCACAGTCACAACCCAAGATACAAATATTATTATTCCCCCAATTTTCAAGAAGTTATGTGACTTGCCCAAGGTCTATGCTACAGCCAATGTGACCTGTGTCCTACATTCCAACTGGGACCTGAACCCAGTCTCTTAATTCTAAGCCTGTTGGTGTTAATGCTTTGAGCACAGAAGGTTCAGCAGAACTTCATCCAGGTATGCCTCTCTGACTTTGCTAGGGAAAGAAGTGGAGATCAGAAGAGAGTTAACAAAGTGAAGGGAATGCTATCCACAATATGAATGGAAGCAGGCTGGAATTTTGAAAAGAGTACATTCATAATTTGGAGAGGCAGGTAGGATCTGAATCAGAAATAGACTATCCTGACCAAATGATCTCTCCTAAGGGGGCAAAGACGGTTTGTGTTTCTACAACCTAGCTGCATTCATAGAATTTATTCTTTTTCCATCTGTAATAAAGTAGCTTTGGTTGCACTATAGAAGCCTAAGAACAGTGCAGCTATTGGGAATGGGGCAATGAGGTGACACAGTAGACAGACAAAGCCATGGGCCCCGAATCAGGAGGACTTGAGTTCAAATCTGGCCTCAGACACTTACTAGTGCTGTGATCCTGGGGAAGTCACTTAACCTGTTGGCCTCAGTTTCCTCATCTGTAAAATGAACTGGAGAAGGAATGACAAACCACTCCAGTATCTTTCCCAAGAAAACCCCAAATAGGGTCACAGAGAGTCAGAAACTGAAAACGATTCAACAACCACAACAAAAGAAGTAAAAGCGGCCCTCATAAATGCAAGCGAGTGGGGGCACTGTGTGCCATGGTACAGTTGGGTGGATTTTTTTTTTTTTGAGGGAATGGAAGAAGATGGGAGTGAGATTACTGCTTATACTTTTGTGTTTACATATTACAGAGGGCAGATATTAGTGTACTTCTGTATGAACAGAGGGGCAGCTAGCTGGCATAGTAGGTACAGCATTGGGCCTGGAATCGGGAAGACTTCTCTTCATGAGTTCAAATCCAGCCTCAGACACTTACTAGCTTGTGTGACCCTGAGCAAGTCACTTAACCCTGTTTGCCTCAGTTTCCTCATCTGTAAAATGAGCTGAAGAAGGAAATGGCAAACCACTTCAGTATCTTTGCCAAGAAAATCCCAAATGGGGTCACAAAGAGTTGGACACGACTGAAACAACTGAACAATAACAAATATGAACACTAAGGGTAAACGTTTTGATGAACATACTCATTTTATTACTTAAGTCTTTCTCCTTTAACAGCCAGGTCACCAATACAAATTTCATCAACTATAAAACAAGGATACTAATAGCACCTACCTCACAGGATAGTCGTGAAGATAAAATGAGATGATAGCTATCAAGTGTTTAGCATAGTGCCAGACACACAGTATGTGCTTCATAAATGCTAGATATGATTTTTATTAACAAATGCTTAAGACATTTCATATTCCAAGCGTGATTTAGAGGACATCTCAAAGACACAAGGAAAACCTTCAACATAAAATTTTAGCACTAAGAAGGACTTTAAGAAATCATCTCAGTCCAACATGTCACACAATCTATTCTTCTGTAAAGATGGAGGTCTTAAAAAGCCACTGCCATTCTGTGGTTCTTCACTCTCACGGCTCTTTCTCCCAGCTAAAAAGGTTTCCATATTTTCCTAATTTCATTCATTCATTATTCATTCAACAAACATGTCTAAGTCATTTACTCTTGGCAAGGCTCTTGTATGCCCTGCGGGGATACAAAGATAAATAAGATACAGATCCTGCCACCAAAGGAATTACAATCTAGTAGGGAATAGAAGAAATGGTCACATACAGAAAGCCCAACAAGGATTTTAGCAGAGGTACATACAAACAAAAACACTGAGAGATCACAGGAGGAAGAAATCTCCTACAGTTTGGGGAATGGAGGTGGGAGATGTGAAAATCAGAAAAGATTTCTTGGAGAAGGTGGTATGAGCTAGGCCTTGGAGAATAAGTGGGCTTTTAAGTGGTATAGACAAGAGAGAGAGAAGATGGGGACAGTATTCTAGGTATGTGAGATGGCTAGCAAAGGCTCAGAGGCAGAACAGCCCAAGATACTGGAAGTGGTGAGATAGAAATGGATAATGGGCTGCCCAATTTGGATGTAACACAGCAACATGAAGGGGGGTACTGCAAAGCAAGCCTGGCAAGGCAAGCTGTTTAAAGATTGTAGTTCTACTGGTTGTCTCTCCCTTAATTTTTAAATTTAAATTGCCTAACTCTTTTTTTGTTCTTGTTTTTTGCTAGGCAGTGGGGTCAAGTGACTTGCCCAGGGTCGCTCAGCTAGTAAGTCTCAAGTGTCTGAGGCCACATTTGAACTCAGGTCCTCCTGACTCCAGGGCCGGTGTTCTATCTACTGTGCCACCTAGCTGCCCCCATAATGCTTTTTTTTTAATGAAAAGAAAAAAAAATCACAAGTAAGTAAACAGTGAGAGAACACAAGGGGTTCTGATGCTTGATCAGCCTTTTGAATGCTGAGCTAATATTTGGCTCCTCTTTCATTTCTCAAAAGTCACTATTTTCTTTGTCCTGGTTTGTTTGGACAAGAGTTGAAAGCAGATATATTGAAGCTGTGTTACCACTCAGAAATATTCACAGCTCTAATGGATGAGGCCGCTCAGATTGGAGTATGGCTAATGCTTTTTGCTATATGACAGAGAGAGACAGAGATGAAAGAGAAGAAGAGAGGGAGGAAGGGGGGGAGAGAGAGAGAGAGAGAGAGAGAGAGAGAGAGAGAGAGAGAGAGAGAGAGAGAGAGAGAGAGAGAGAGAGAGGGAGAGAGAGAGACAGAGAGAGAGAGAGAGAGAGAGAGAGAGAGAGAGAGAGAGAGAGAGAGAGAGAGAGAGAGAGGGAGAGAGAGAGAAAGAGAATATGAATGTTTCTGTGCATGGCTGTTTGGCTAACATTTCAAGTGCCATATGACTACTACTTAGCATTACTGGCCTTTCTCACTGGGCCAGCAAAGCAAGCCGCCTGACACTACAATCCACTAGGTGGAGCCAGGCATCAGGTTAATACCTCAGACCATTTGTTTTCCAAATTAATATTTAACCATAGAGTGCTTTGGGGCTTGTTATCTCTTAATAAGAGCCATAGTTTTTTTGGGGGGCGGATTGGAGGGGGATCTGGGAAACACTAGGATGATGGAGGGGTTTGAGAAAATATGGGAATGAGCTTAAACAATTTTTGTGTAGAAGATTATGCTCGTATTTTTGTTTTGTACCTATTTTCACATTTAATATTGTAAAGGGAAAATATCACTAGCAAAAGAATGTTGTCATGGACCCCACCCACATTTCACTTGACACAAGTTTTAGGGAAATATGAACTTCCTTCCAGCAAGAGTTAAATAGTATCCAAAGAAAGTTCTTGCACACCTGACATAGGAGTTTTTATACACAACTGGAGAGTAAGGAAGGGGGAGCCTGTGACCTTACATATGGCCCTCTAGGTCCTCAAGTGTGGCGCTTTGCCTGAAACCAAACTTCACAGAGCAAATCCCCTTGATAAAAGGATTTGTTCTGTAAAACTTGGACTCAATCAAAAGGCTGCACCCAAGGACCTAGAAGTCTACATGTAGCCTCGAGGACAGGTTCCCCACCCCTGGAACA